GGGGACTACACGTTTGCGAGCCGAGACGCTTAGCAGGAGTAGTAGTAGTAGTAGTAGTAGTAGTAGTAGTGGTGGTGCCAACAGTCCCAGTGGCTACTGATAACACCAATAGTACTTGTAGAACTATTTGCTGATAGTAGTACTTGTACTAGCACTTCTAGTGCTGGAAGGACTTGTGTCGTCGCATTAGCAATACTGATCAGTAGCAGTGGTGTGGAAGTGGTGTTCGTGGTAGTGATAGTCGGAGTGGCAGTTTTAGTGGTGGTAGTGCCAGTGGTAGAAGTTGTCGTAGTCGTCGTAAAAGTAGCAGGTGCATAGGTAGGTAGAAACAGGTAGTCCTAGGCAGTACTGCAGCAGGTACTAGTAAGCACTACTTCGAGTTTGCTGTAGTGGGTTCTTGTGGGTACTAGTTGCGGTCGTCGCAGTGGTAGTCGTGGCAACAAAAGCACTAACGAACAGTAAAGGCCGTCGTAGCAGCAGGGAGAGGAGGAGGAGTAGCAGCAGCAGCAGTAGCTACATCGTTTGCAGAACCGTAATCTTCCCTGAACCCACGTTAAACCCAACTGAAGAATTGACGGCATCCGGAGGTGGTCCAGCGGTCGTTGGAGCTGGCCAAAGCCAGGCAGGGCTGCCATTTTGGGGTAGGTGTGCCTGCATCTTGGCATTGTGATGTTGCCCAGCCTCTCAACCGGTCGAGGGCATCCTAAGCCTAAACTAAACCTCAAAACCTCAGGCCTCGAACCCTGAACTGCTAACATACACCCTCAATTTCGAACCCCTTTCGCGCGTTGGGTAACCTGGGCTCGTTCAGGCAATTCGAAGAAGCCGAGCGCTGTTTGGCGCAGTTGGCCAGCCCAATGCTTAAGGAGAGATTTGAGGGCGTCATGGGGCTTTCAAGGATTTAGCCAAACACATAGGCTCTCGGGCTTGAGGGTTTTAGGTTTGCGGCAGGGGGCAATCGGGATTTGCGGGCTTCGCCGGTTTAGGATTGGGCGTTTGGGGCTTCAAGGTCGAGGACAACAGAGTTGGAGAGAAGGGGAATGAGAATTTCATGAGAATCGTAGCGGTTCTCATCTCGATGTCACTGGAAGCAGTGGCACAAGTACTGGTTAGTGGCGATAGTAATCGTGGTAGCAATAGTGGCAAAGAGGAGCAGGAGTCTTTGTCGTCATGACTGCGAAGAGGGGAGCTTGCTGGTGGCTTGGACCTCTGAGGTGAGCATCCAGAGCTCGCCGCCTCTCGAGAAATGATCGCGGCTCAACAGGCATGGGACTTCAGACAGTACAGAGGCCTTGATACTACAACACGGTGTGGTGGTGTTTTGTATTTCAGTTTTTTTTTTTGCACAGAGGCACAGAGTGGAATAGACATCGGTTACTGCTTGAAGGTGCGGGTGTTTAGGGCTCAGTTTAGGAATGTTTAGGATTTAAGTTTTAGTTTGTTCGTTCAGGGTTCTTGCGTATGGTGCAAGCCGCACTTTCTGTTCGGGTTCGTGCATGCTACAGGCCCTGAAACAGAATTTGAAGCCTCGATTCAGTGACACAACAGCCAAGCAATGTAAGATCACCCACTTGGAAGCCCCTCATTTGAGACTGTGCGGCTGGACATCTCAGTTTTTGCTGTTCTTTGACGTGAGTGCACCAGGCTGTGACCATGTGCAAGCAGCTCAATGGCGCTTAGCACATTTCTCGGTGAACGGTGAGTCAAGATCACAAGCGTGACGCGCGAAAAGGCGGCAGTACAAATGATGTCACGGTCGTAGGTTCTGCATATCCTGGAAGATTCTCGCGGTGCTGCCGTGGATAACGATGTCGAAACAAGACTACAGAGCAATAGCAGCTAATTAGAACCAGACCCTGACAATCAATACTATCCACTCGTTTTTCAGGATTGCGGCGCCTGATTGGTGCATTCCGCGGTGCGACTTTTCAGTCGGAGCTTCTTGCATAGAGACCGCCAAAGCCCTCAAAAGATCAGAACGCAGAGCATTGATCGAACGGCTCTGCAAAAGCTGCGCAAGTGGGTTCTACGAAACCATTTCACGCGACGAACCCCAATGATCAAAACCTGCAAGATTTCCGAACCAGTTTAAACCAAAAGTGGAACACAACAAGATAAAGCCGACAACGTAAAAAAGAGCCAGGAAAACCCTGATGATTCCCTAATGATGGGGCTGAAGCCATGCTCTCGCCCCCTCTCTCACCCACTACGCGGCGACCTCGCTTCTCCGACGGCTCGCCAGCCGGGTTCCCAGGGGTAACAGCTAAAGGGCTTTTGTCAGAGGGTCTCTGGGTCGTTCTTCTCGGAGAAGGGCTGCGCCGGATACAGGAGAACCATTTGGGCACCATGCAGGCTGCAGTCATTTCCCGTGGCGACAGATGCGGCACTGGTGCCCATGCATGCTGTTGGCACGTCTTCCACATGCCCAGTCGTAGTCAAGAAACGGCGCCAACTATGGCAAGCAAGGCCATGAAAACAATACAACAGTAGCACGGCCTGACAGTATGATAAGATGATACGGCTCTGGCAGGCCATAGCTAGGTAGGTACATCGTTAGATTCGGGTAGTTATACAATTCCATATATATATATATATATACACACACATACATATACAGAATGAGAGGTAACGCGAGACTGAGGATGGCTGGGAGGACCGGGGGCGCCGGAGCAGCGGCTCCGTCGACCGAACAGATCGCTATCGTGAGTCCTCACGGGCGCGCGAATCCTCGAGGCCTGGCCTGTGAACTGAAGTCTACATATCACGGGTAGGGATACGGAGGGATCCTTACAATAAGGATCTTTGTATACAGCGCCTATGTTAGGGTCCTTCTTCTGCTTGTGACTTCAAGTCCTCTCTTCTCAGCTGACAGGAGTAGGCGCTGCGCATAGCCCTTGTATTGAAGGGCGATGCAGCAGCCATCGTGTTAGTCTTGGCTGGGGCATGCATGTCTGCCATGTATGTATGTATGTATGTATGTATGTATGTATGTATGCAGGTAGATATGGATGTATGTTTGTGTCTACATAGACAGATAGGTAGATAGACAGATAGATATATACATACCTATGTATGTGTGCGTGTGCGCACGTACGCACATACGTACGTATTTACGTAGGTACGCATGTATGTATGTATGCATGCATGCGTGGATGTATGTATGTATGTATGTATGTATGTATGTATGTATGTACCTACGAATCTATGAAAAGCTTAAAAAGTACGTACAAGCTGTGCGTATGTGTGTGTGCTCAGTCAAGTACTTCCTGTACCCATGGATGTGATCTCTATCTCTCCCTCTCTCTCTTCGTATTCATTCCGGCTGGGAGCGTTTCTGCCAGCATGGAGGCCACCGGATGACAGTCGTGCCCGAAAGCTGTCCCTTGGACCAGCGCCGCCACGGAGGACGCTTTCATCCTCAGGCTGAACGTAAGACTATTGCACACCGCACCGATTGACATGAATGCTGGAGTCCTGCTTGCTTTTCATCTTTGCAAGGCAGCTTCGATCTCAGTTCACCGAAAGCCATGGAGGCGACGCTGTGATTGCAGACATCGGCACTTGAGAAGCCTGCTTCGGCTGTGCAGGCTGGCGCTGGCTTCAGCAGCATGAGCAGCCAGTGGGCAGCGACAGCCCAGCTCTTCGATTCCAGTTTGCAGAATAGCCTTTGCTTGACACCGTCCTCATGTGCGAGCACGACGCGAACAGCTCCCTTCAGAACGCCAACACCACCACCTCGCACTCGGGCCGGGGCCATGAAAGGGGACGGCAACAGCAGTGACTACTCAGACGACTTTGAAGCACCGGCTCCTCGGCCGCCACCTGGGTCTCCAGTGCCGCCAGCAGGTCCAACCCCACATGCACCTCGCCCACCTGGCCCGCCTGGCCCTCCCACGGCCACGGGCGTGGCTCCGCCAACCTCTTCACCTTCACTTGCTCCTGCGCTGCCGGCACCAGCACCAAGCAGCCAACTTCCATCGATGCCTCCACCCCTGCCACCAGGCGCACCCACTGTGCCGGCTGCTCCCACGCCTGCGAAGCCCACGCCACCGACCGCATCACCTGCACCACCCGCAAGTGTGCCTCAAGCACCCCTGCCACCCAGCATGCCAGCTGCACCCCTCCCGCCTGCAGCACCTGCAGCACCTGCAGCACCTGCGGCACCTGCGGCGCCTGTGCCGCCGATACCTCCATCGTTACCATTCGGCACGTACTCGGGCGAAGCAACACGGGATGATGAGAGCTTACTGCGAATCCTGGGCGAGGTCAGCCCACCACCACCGCCGACGGGTCGATCTCCCACGGCTTCCAGGAGCCCAGGCCGCCGCTCTCGAAAGAGCCCGAGTCGCAAAGGCGAATCACCTCAGGAAACCACCAAAGTGCACGCGGCTCGGCTCAAGACAAAAAAGCTTGCGTTCATTCTTCTCTTGTGTACTTCCTCTTCCTCCAGTGCAAGAGCATGATCTGGCGGCAGACGCAAGGTGGTTGTTCAGCACCTTGCAGAACTCTGTGAGCCCATCAGCATGGCGCTTTGCTTGTCGGACTTCATCCTGGAGAAGGACGCAGATGGACTGCATTGGACGCTGCACATGCCTCTTGCTTGCTGATTCCATCTGCTTCCCAGCTGAGGTCAAAGTGGCTGGAGTTCATCTCCGAAGGGGCATGCGTTTGGCCCCATGGCACAGCTTGAGTTGTCTTGCAGGTGCTACCTCGTCGTAGTATCTTCGGAGTAGACTAGGGAGCTTGAAGACTGGGTAGTTATAGTTGAGCTTGTGTTTGATACCAGATCTTCTCTAAAGTGGGCCGGAGTACTGCTTCTTCGTTTGTAATGAGCTGAACATGAGGCACGGGACTCAAGTTTGGGCCTTGCAGTAAAGGAGCTGTGCTGGAGTTTTAGCCGGGCAAAGCCCCAGTTCCAATTGCAGTCGCTTTTCTCAGTCTCCCGTCGCTGAGTTGCCCTGGCCCACTTCCTCTCATTGCTTCCTGCGAGGTTCCATGGGAGGGATTGGAAAGATGCCAGTCCTACGCAAGCCTTCTCCACAGCCTGGAGCAGTCAACGCAGCTGACCTTCGAGTGGCCGCAGGTGGAAAAGACTTCAAATCTGCATCGAACTGAAACAAGCCGGAAGTGCATCCTGGAGTGGCTTTGCTTCGGAGGTCACGCCGCCTGCACCCGTCCTGTCCTCAGACCCGAAAAGTGGCCCGGGTTACCGTCAGACGGCAGAATGCAGAACTTCTATTGAGGACCTCATGTTCGTCTCCTACGAGTGGATATGTCCACAATTCCTGGAGCGAGGGTTCGATGTCCCGCAAGCACTGCGGGCTTTGCCAACACTGATCCAGGCTTGGACCTTTGCCCCAACTTCCCCCGAACTTGGGGTAAGGCCTTCGTCTTGGTTGGGCACAGAGAGAGAATTCGGGTGGCACAGCTCGTGAAGGGCTTGATTCAAGCTGCTTCATGGGTGAGCCCGTGCTTGATATGGAGCTCTTTGCCCAAAGGTGCCGGAGGCTTCCAGCGCGGTCGCGCTCCTTCGCCGTGTCATACCTGGCATAGAGGACTTCATCGCTACATGGCTATATTTGAAGAACACAGAAGACGCAGCGTGTTGAACGCATGTTACCAGTAACACTGTGGCGGAATTAAAGTGCAGCGGTATCCGGGCATCAGAACAAAGCCAGCCACCCATCGACACCTCCAGTTGAATGTGCGAACACGTGCTCGCACAATGGCATTCTTGCAAAGGACAGGACTTTGACCACCTGGTAGCTAAATAGTTTCAAGTTGAACTTAACTCCTACAGCGTTTCATGCTCATCCGAAGCATGCTGCCTCCAGCATGCATGCGTGACCGCCAGAACGACATGAATCGGAGCGCATCCTTCAACAAAGAGGGCCCCTGAGGAAAACAACCATGTTTTAAGCTCAGGACGGGCCACCTCGGAATCTCTGGCAGCTATCTGGCATGGACCCCAGTCCTTCTCGTGTTGCATCTGCAATCATGGCAGATCGAAGTCTCTCCGGAATGCTGGATTTATGTCAGTTTCGCGTGCGAGGCATGGACAGAGTTCCTCAGAAGCTGCGAGAGCATATCCTGAAAGACTTCACCGACTGGGTCTCTACGACAGCAAATTGTGTCGGCATGTTAGGACTGCAAGTTTGGGCGCGAGGGATGTTAAAGCCCGTGGACAGGAAGTGCATCTGTCCACCTGCTTGCACATGCCACCGGGTCAGGGGTATATGAGCAGAATGATCTCTAGGTCCTCTAAGTTGAGACTAGAGTGGCCTCTCACCTTGGCATAGAGCAGCACATTTAGCGTGCCACTGTACCGCCCATGCAGAAGGACTTTTTGTAACAGTCGGAATTCTGGCACTTGCAGCTCATCTAAGGGTTTTCCTACCAGATCTTCTGCAGGCCAGGACCCTAACATCGAGCAGCGTCGGGCTCTTCGGTTTAGGGTCTCTCGATGTCTCTCGTGCAGGTGAGACCTGCCGCTTGCTGGCCACGCACTTGCACCGGCCCTTCGACCTGTCGCCTCTCCTGGACGTGGGTTCTTTGGCCAGGCCGGGTCGAAGTCGGAAGGTCATTGAGACCGAACTGCCATGGAACAGAATCGCTTCCTCACCGATGGAATGCTCAGCCTCTGTCTCTAGACTTTGGAAGCAAGGCCTCTGGCGAGGTCTGAGACCAGTTCCCATCCGCACAAGGTGTCCAGACAGTGCCGCCGGTGTGCTCTTGCGCCGAGAAGCTGGCCGCTTTATCCCTTTGCGTGAAGCAGCTGAGCATCTCGGAGCTTGGGGATCTTAACTCTTCGGGCTTCAGAAACTTGAGCTTGTTCTGTTTCTGTACACATGTGTCCATAGTGCCAACTTGCAATGCTGTATCACACCCTGTCGTCGGGTTCTAAGCTTGTGGCGTTTACCGTGTGCATTTTTGCAACACATGCTCTGTTTCTGTACGCCAAGTTGCAACGCTATATCACACCCTGTCGTCGGCGCGGGCCCCCTAAATCTGTCCAATCACTCTGTCGAACTGCCACGCCTCCAGACCATCGGACAGAGAGTTTTAAACACAATCCAGCCGGTCGAACTGCCACGCCTGCTTTGGGTTCAATGGCCAGACCATCGGACAGAGAGGTTTAAACACAATCCAGCTGATGCTCATGATGCTCGCCCCGGGGGCTCCCTAAATCTGTCCAATCACTCGGTTGAACTGC